CTTATTTATATAAAATAAAATACATAGAAAAATATAACTAACATGTCTAATATATCAACTATATCAACTATGTTAACCATGTCAACTATGTCAAATATGTCAAATATATCTAACATATCATATATGTCAGTTATGTTAAATCGGTCGATCTTCTGTATCACATGAGCTGCGTCGCATTTATCTATTCATAATATCACTATTATACTTTCTATTTTATTTTTTTATAATATTATTCTTAAATCTTTAATAAATATTATATATAACATTATTATATCAATGAAGAACTTCATTAATAAATTTTTTCCTATTTCTTCAAATGCTTTAAAATTTTCTTTAATTTAAATTTTAATAATATTATTTCTATTTCATTATATTCTTTAAATTTTATTTTCTGTTAATTTTTTAATAATTTCTTTTTTTGATTATTCTTTAATAATTTTTGTTTTTTATTTATTTTTCTTCAATAATAATAACTTGATCCTAAAATATATACTATTCTTTTTTCTTAGAAATCTTATTTATTTATTATTAATTTTTATTTTATTAGTCATTCTAAAAATGTAGTTAATTTAAAACTTAAATAAAAATAGTTATCAATTAAAAAAAAAGTTAATTTATCTAATAAAAATATTTTTAAAATAAAAAATTATAATAATTTAGATTAACATTAAATTACTATAATTTTAACTAAAAATACATTAATAAATTACAAGTATATGATTTAATTTGTTTCAATTTTATATTAATTATATAAAAATTATCTGACTTAAATACTAATAACTTTTTATATAAATATTTTTTTCAAAATCTGATTGTTAAATTAATAGCACTAATCATAAAAATTATAGATACCTATTAAAATATTCTTAAATTATTTTATTATATTTTTTTAATATAGTTTTGACAGTTTTATATTGAAAAAGTTTTATTATACAGTCAACTCTTGATATAGCAAACTCTTAATATAATGAATTTTTGAATAAATATAATAAAAATACTCTTGTTATAGTAAATTAGCTAATTAAATCTCTTAAAATCTTCACTATAGCCTTATAGTGAAGTTGAAGACTAGGATATAGAGTTTGTTATAACAAGAGTTAACTGTATTTCTTATTATAATTTAACATAATTTTATTTAAATTTTATTATTATTAAAGATTTATTCCTTATCTATAATAAGATAATATAATTATTATTAATCATAATATAATATTTTACTATTAGGTTTTAATTTTACAAAGAAGTATATTTAATAATAAAAATCAGATTTTATTTCTGAGTAAATTTAATACTATAAATACATTTAGAATATTGCAATAATAAAATCTGACTATTTATTAAAACTTAAAGTCCAATTCTATTAGAATTTAAGTATTAATTATCATGATTAAAATATTTTTTTTTTTAAATTTAACAGTTAAATTTTTAGAGATTTAATTGGATTGTTTCTAAATACGATATACTTGGATTTATTAATCTATATTTATTTACATTAGATGAAAATATATTTATGTAATTAGTTTTTAAACTTTATATAATTTGATTATTTCAAAAACATAAGTTTTGAGTATTTATCTATTTTTGTTAAAAAAATTTAATAATTTACATTTGATATTTTTCAATTTTTAAGCTAATTTTTATTTTTATTATAAATAATAATAAATTTCTAAAAAGAAATCAGTAATATTATAAATATATACAAAAAGTAACACTTTTAAATAATGTTAAATTAATTGATTTTATTTTGTATAATTTTTTATAAAAATAATTGTATAAAAGCAAAAATTAAATTCTATTAAATACTTTTGAAGTCATTTTAATTGTTGCTTACATAGCTATCTAGAATTAGAAGTTTAATTAAAAGAAAATAAAAAACATTTCAAAAGAAAATTATTTTGTTGCGTCAGATGACTAATGCTGGCCAAACCTTCTTAAGGCATTATAAGATCAGCCCAAAATAGGCCTATAATTTAGGCCAGTCGGCATCTGACGCAAAATTATAGTTAACGCACAACATATATATATTTAGAAGAAAATTAATTTAAATTTTCTCATTAAAAAAAGAACCAAATGGTAAATGTACTACTAAAGTGCAAAACGGCACAGTATAGGAGTAGATAACCCATGTACTTGGTGTAAATTCTACTTAACGCTATTGATACGAACACTTCAAAAATAAAAATATATATATAAAATCTTTGACAATAGAAAAGGGGAAACTACCAGGAAAAAAATAAAAAATGAGTTAATACTAAATCTGAACATATTTTGGCCTAAAAATCATATTTGGAATATAAAAGTAAAATTGATTTTTTCCTTTAGTTTCCCCCTTTTCTATTGCAATACCCTGAAGAAAGTATTCGGGCACAGTTTTTTGTGAACTAAAATAAAACTAAATTCAATTAAAATTCACGTTTTATAAATTATTTTGTCATACAATGATTCAAGTTCGATCAAATATGATAAATATTTGTATTATGTGTTCTAATGTTAACAAAAGTCCAATCGATAGTTTATAAAAGAAAAAAATTCTCTGTGTATTTGTATTAATTAATAATGATTAGCTTAAATTTTAAAGAAATTTATTTTTTATTTATAAAGCAATTATTTGCTTACTAATTCAATTTTTAACAATGGCAACAGCCTTAACAATGGGATGTGATATTTGTCAACGATTCTTTTTATAACGTGATTTGAAAAATTGAAAGTATATAAATATCAAAATTTTCCTTTTTTTTTTTTCGTTTGAAATAAAAATGGAAGATAATATTATTCAGTCACTTAATTCTATACAAACAATAAACTCAGTTGTGTCTAATATGTCTTCCTCGGCTTCTACCTCAACTCTTTCGACAACTTCAACAACTTCAAGAACTTTCCCAGTTTCAAATTATCCAAAGTCAAAATATTCTCAACAGAAATACAATAATAACTATGCGCATCGAAAAGAAAATGGTAATAACAACCATAAGGATCGCTCACAAACTAATTACTCACCAAATTATTCTCTTTCTCAACAACCTCATTACCATCATAAAAAGAGATATCGAGATCCTTCATTTGTACCGAGAGAATTTCAATTTTCTCCAAAAGTTCCTTGTAAATTAATTGATTTTGTCGGAGGAGTAAATTATACTCAGTCGCAAGATAATGGTGTAATATTTAATCGTGTTGTAGAATATTTTAGAAATATAACTACTACTATTGAACAAGAAGAAAAATTATTAGATTTTAGTTTCTTTCTCAGAGAAATATCAACCCACAATAATTCAACTAGTGATTCAAAAGAGGATGGATTTTATGTTAAAGTTACTCAATCGGATCCTAAGCGTTTTCCACCCGATAAAAGACATAATTGTTTATCATGCGATAAGGAATCTGAAACATATATTTTTTCGAGTTTAGCATATCCATCATCAACGCGTGAAGAGGTCTCAATTTGTCATAATTCATGGTTCGATGCAAAAGCAAGATCAATGTTTATTATTACACCAAAACGTCATGTAGAACGTTTATCTGATTGTAATGATCAAGAAATTTTTTCCATGTTTTTATTAGCTGTACAAATTATTGAACAAGAGACTCGTCTTTCAAACGCTCCTTGGAATGGTATTAGATTCGCTGGAATGACTTTAAATCATGGTAATGCAAGAAACATTGAACATCTTCATCTAAAAATTAAAATAAATAATAGAGATTTTGATCATTTTAAAAATTTCGGTTGGGATGATGAAAAAAAGGAAAGATTTAAAATTTTACAAAGTGGCATCTACAAAAGAGATGAAAGGTTGCATAGAATTCCTTAACCGAGAATATCATCTTAAATCACAGTTTATTTATAATTGAAAAAATAGAATCATTATATACAAATGTACCGTTTTAAACCTAAACGATGAGTTCGGCTGCCTTTTCCAATGCATTTTTATAAGCTCCTATGAGTGCTGCTAATTGAATCATATCATTTCCACCACCATTGAGATTATGTCTATTTTAAATTAATATGTTATTAGAATGTGTTATTATTTTAAACTTTTTTTTTTTTTTAAAAAAAAAAAAAAATAAAATAAAATAATTAAATAAATATTACAGAAGATATTTACTCTATTATTCGTAACTTTTTAAAGAAATAAGCCAATACTTCATTATTAAACGGGAAATCATGCATCTTAAAGTAATTTACCACTTCTGTTATAATATCATTCAAAGACATGCTTAATACTTCCATCATTCTTTTAACCTCTGTAAATGAAATCGAAATGAAGTTAAACTTGATTCCTTCAATATTCTTTTATATTCCCTAATCACTTACTTGAATATGATGTGCTGAAATCATCATTTGACAGAGAATTCATTATAATTTCAATATCTTTTGGATGAGGGTATCCCGTGCAATTATAAATCACAGTTTCATCAATGACATCACGTGAAGAACACGACTACGAAAAAAAATAAATTTCATTGAATCAAACTTTTGTTCTTTTTGACAAAACAAAGAGTATTAAAATTACCTGAAGAACATTTAACGCTCTTCGCATATCACCGCCACACAATTTCAACAATGCTTGGATCCCATCTTGAGAGATGTTTACACTAAATTAATAAGATCTAATCAGTAAAAAACTGGTTTAAATAAGATCATTCAAAAAAAAAAAAAAAAATCAAGTATAATTACTTTTCGACTTTTACAATTTCTTCAATACGTGATTTAATTTGATCCGGATTCAATGGCCTAAATCTGAATCGAGTACATCTCGATTGTAATGCTGGATTTAATCGTTGAACATTGTTACAAATGAAACAGAAACGAACATTCTTCGCGTAATCTTCCACAACTATAAAAGTTTCACATATTGTTATTTATCATAAACATAACGAAAATCAACATAATACATAGTATAAACAAACTTCTTCTCAGCGCGTTTTGTGCTATGTTCGTCAGACCATCAGCTTCATCCAAGATGACTAATTTAAATTCGTTACCAGCGCTTTTTTTTTTTAAAAAAAAAAAATTTAATTCCCAATCATAATATTAACAAAAAAATTTCATTTGAAAATTTATATAAAATACCTAAATAATTTACGTGTCGAAGCAAATCCTTTGATATCTTCACGAACCATATCTATACCTCTTTCATCAGACGCGTTTAACTTTTTTTTTTAAAAAAAAAAAAACTGAATGACATGATGTAATTTAAATTATGCCAAATCATTTGTTTCATTTCTTACTTCCATAACACTGGCATCCCAGTCTTTACCAAATAATTTTCTGGCGCAAGCTAATATTGTTGAAGTTTTTCCAGTACCAGGAGGACCATAAAATAATAAATGAGGGAATTGTCTGTCACTGATGAATTTATCAACTAAGAATTTAAATAAAATGCGCAATTAGCAATGTATTGGAAAGATCATTAAAATTCATCGAAACCTACGCGTTAAAGTAATATAATCCAATGATATAAGGTCGGATAAAGTATATGGACGATATTTTTCTACCCTAAATTAAATAATCAAATAAAATTGATATGTGTTCACTTAATAAACTGAAATCCGATTACACTTTTAATGACTGCGTAAAAAAAAAAAAATATACACATATATATGTTAAAAATAAAAATACCATGGTAAATGTTCTTTATTGTGTCTTGTTGATCTGTCAGTAATTTCTTTACCTTTACCTTTATTATTTGAATTCAAGATAGGACTCGTTTCTTCAAAGCTCATTTCTTTGTCAGACATTTTAACTTCCGTATTAAAAGAGTGAGCTAATTTTCTTTTTTGAGCATGCATTAAGTAACTAATTTAAAGGAATGAATTTAATTGGAAGACGGACGTGTTGGGAATCCCGTGCGTGTTTAGTGACCACAATTGGAAATAACTGCGCACAGACAGCAGACAGCGCAGTAAAAATAATACAATTGTTTAAATTGCCATTTCTGGATCAACCAAATTTTTTTACTTTAAAAAATATATATTATAAATATAAATATATCATAATTATAAATTAATAAAGTCGTTACGTTCAAAGTTACCTAAGTTACGTTGATTTGTCAGTATAAAAGACAAATCTTTTACAAAAATTAACGCATTTTTCAACTTTAGCTTTTGAAACAAAAGCTTGTGAATTTGCAAACATGTGGATCTATATGCTTGATACATTGAAAATTTTGGCTAATGTTATCTTTTCTGTCACGGCAGTAATTACTATTATTGTCATAGGTGAGATATTTTCTATCGTGATCAAATTTTATTCTTTGAGTATTCCTTTGAAACTCATTTTTACAATTCCCTAAATACGGAACAGCTTGGATAGTTTTTTGGAAATTAATTCTCAGTCAGATTAGCTTTATCCGTGAAATTGCAGAACTTCCAAAACTTAATGACAGCAAAACACCCAAACTTCAAACATCATCATCATCTTCTAGGGAAAAGAAAAAACGACAATCTTCCACATCATCATCCGCAACACATAGTAGACAACAATCAACATCACAAATAACGCATGGTAAACATAAATCAATTTCTTCAACACATAGTAGACATCAATCACTATCTTTGCCATCACATAATAGACAGCAATCAACATCGACACGACAACAACATAATCATATCAATGCAAATAATCCAATAATTCATCAAAGAACATTTTCTTCTTCCTCATTAAATCAATATCAAGATGGTGGAAGTTTACCGATGAGTAGGAGAACTTCTAATAGAACTTATCAATCACAGGATGATGATTCGGATAATAAAAGTCATCATAATCATACAAAGAGTAATAGCAGAAATTCTATTAAAAATGGTTCTTCAAACAAAATTTTATCTGAAAATGATGAATTTTTAAATTTTGAAGAAGGTTATATTTCATAATGGTTGTAATAATTAAGAATATACTATAGAAATGAATTTCAAAGTCCTTAGAATAATTATAGAAGTTTTCAAATAGGTATGAAATTCCAATTTGAAAAGGCTTTGATGCTTTTAAAAAGGTCCCTTTTAGTTTACAATGTAGGAAAAAATTATTACATACTGGCATAACATCATTAATATGCAATAAGGTAATTGGTATGATTACCGAGTCTTGGACTGAATTATTGCATAATACTTCAATTCTTTGTTTGCCATTTTGTCGAATTTCAAAATCAAATGATAATTATTTATTACCGTATTAAGTTAAAGCCATAAATTTCACTCCAAAAATTCTATCTTCAAGCCCAAAAACGACTTTTTTCCCCATAAAAATACAAAAAAAAAGGACGAAATAATATCCTTTTTGTTAAAAAACAAATTATTTCTACCAAAGGTCTTGAGGGAATCCACTAAATTCGGCAATTTCATCTGCTTTGTCTCCTGCTGAAGTTTCATATACAATTCTTAGCCTTAATCGAACATTCACCTAATGAAGATATTATACATATTAGATCGAAAATCAAATAATAATAAAAAATATATATATTTATATATATTATATATACCCTTTGTGGGTTGGCTACACGGATTGTTTGTGTTACAACGGCACCAGGTGCGATGGTTGTCGAAGAAGGTGGTTGCATTTGTAATCTCTGTGTCTATAATAAAGAGAATAATATATCGTTAATTTATAGAGTGTTAGAATTTTATTTGTTTAAATGATATATTTACTTTCGGAACTGCAGCTTGAAATAATAGGTTTTGTACGGTTGATCCAACACCATCATTATGAAAGGTAACGTTAATATTAAGAATATTAGGGTTACTTTGATCTTTGAAAGGCGAAAGGTTGATTTTGAGACCATTCTTATTATACGCTATGAATTCTATAAAAGAATTGGTTGATTGGTTAATTTGATATAAACTTTTAAATATTAAATTTGTGAGGTTAAAAGGATAAATATACCCGATGCATTTGTTCCTATTGAGCTAGAAGCTGGAGAAGTTGCTATACTATTTAAAGGATTTTCTGATTGTATATCTTGAGCTGGGGCAATTTGATTAGTCGAAGAACCAAAAATATTCATAATATCATTTGTTGAACTTGATGTGGGTGGCGAGGTTGTTGATATCAAACTATCTAAAGGATTTGAAGCTGGTGTATTTTGTATTAAATTAGATGTAGTGGTTGGGCCAGCATTGAAAAGACTCATAATATCATTCTTCGGATTTGATTGAGCAGGTGTTGAGTTCGCTGACGAACCACCACCAAAAATATCTGTTAAAATATCTACGGTATTCTGAGAATTTTCGGATGTCTTGGACTGTTTAACATCAGTGACAATACCATCACCATCACCATCACCATCAAGGTCCAAGAGCGACTATAAATTTAATGCAATTAATTTTAGTAAACATCTCAATAAACCTATACAACCTTCATATTTGTAAAGCGCTTACCCCTCCACTATTCTTGAAACCCCCAACATGATCGCTGAGTGAATCATCAGCTTTGTTAAAAAAAAAAAGTGATTTTTAAAGAAATGAATAATCCAGGAAAAAATAAATAATCGTAATGAAACTTACTTGGACGAGACGTTTCTTCTTTAATTTCCGGTATAGGCATCCTTTCCAAGACGGCTGAGCGGATGTCTTCAAATTTAAACAAATTGGTATATTCTATAGCACGTTGTTGAATTTCCACTTCAATGCTAGTATTATATTCCTCAAGGATAGATTGAATTCTTTGTATAACTGACACGGATTTTAAACGTGAAGTTAATTTCATAAGAGCAGTGAGAACATATTCGCGAGTAATCTGATTGGCGTACGGTCCAGCCAAAATAGATTCAAAAAGATCAATAACATCTGGTTCGGTAACCTATGAATAAATTATTTTATTATTAATAAAAATAAATTGCAAGTAATAAGACATATACAATTTTATAACGAACCTCCTTCACTAATTCTTCTTCTTCAAAACATCCCCCTTTTATCAATATATCACCATATTCACCGATTACCCAAACACCGGCTAATGTTAAGGATTCCTATAAACAATAAAATCTCATAATCATTATAAAGGAATTGTTTTTCTCGGGCATGATTAACTAATTCGGTATAAATATACACCTGAGAAATATCCGCTTTTAATGCAGCATATAATTTTTGCACAGTGTAAGCATTCAAATCTGTTGTTTGGGCAATAAGACGGATGAAATTCGATAATATTTCTTCGCGTACGTAGTTGCCTGCCTACTCCAAATATACGAAAATTAAATAAACGGCATAAGGAGAAATGGAAAATTGATAAATATAATTCTTAACACACCAGCTTCAAGACTCTCAATACAGTGTCGATATGCCATCGTTTATTGGGCGCGAACCTAATAGACAATGCAAAATCTAATGTTTAGAGGCTTTCATTAACCACCAGAAGAAGCAAGTATCCTGTTAAACACCTATCAGCAGCCAAACAAATCTTTGTCGTCATTCCTTGCTTGAATTCATTATCGGCGACCTCCAAAAACGCGAGTAATTCTCGCGTTAATACTCTAACATTAGTCTCATTAATTAATGCAAACGAAAGTTCCAAAGCTCGCCGCCTTATTGAAATATCACCATCTCGCAAACAATCAAGTATGATATTCCTATGACGTTGAACAGCATTGGTATCTATTGATACTGTCTTATTAAGCGTTGTGAGTGCAACATATCTACATTGAAAAACTCAAATAAGTATAAATAAAATGAAAAAAACAATTACATTATTATCTAATAATTAATTTATACCTAATATTATTGTCTCTGTTTGTCAAAAACTTGCCCAAAATATTTATAGCTAACACTCGAAGACCACTTTCCGATTGAATATCCATAATTGTTAATACAGTCTCATACAAAATTGAATTTCCAACATTTTTTGATGATTCTGTATTTGTGGCCACCTTTAATTAATATCAAAAAAAAAAATTTATTATTAATTTCTATAATATTTCAGATAAATGAATTCATTGAAAAACATTGTATTACAGACTTGAGCCAGAATATCATTCATCGCTTCACTTGCTTCAGCATCACCTTTACCCAAAATTCTCATTAATCTTAATATTTTAACCTGTAAAAATGGATCAGTCACGCCAGTTACATCATGTTCCGGAGAGAAGCCAGCAGAGACCAAACTTTTCAAGTGACGAACTAGTAGTGGAACAGCCTATTGTATGTTCGATATCTTAGATATTAATAAACGTTGATACAAAAAAAAATCATCAGAATATAATGAATGACCTTTCGAAATGTAATTAAAGTATCAGAATTTCTATAACACATTTCAGTAATAAGAGTTGTCGCTGTAAGCAAGACTCCATGATTTCTGTCGCTCAACAAAGCTTTTGCCTTTGTTAAGAAATTTTCTTGAAGTTCAGGAACTTTACGAATTATACGCATAGCGCACAATGCAGCCTTTTTATATTATAAAGTCAAGTTAACTACAAATCAGATCAAAAGCATAAATTGCAGATTATCATAAATACCTTCTTTCTAATATAAGTATTAGAACTCCCTAGCAATTTTTCAACTTCTGCGCATAAATCACGTGCCATTTCAGGAGAAGATATATTACCCAAAGTACATAAAGCTAAACCTACAATGTACATATTAGAATGATTCATATCACTGTTTTAAGAAAAGTTTACGTGTCAAGGAATTATCGAAATTTTTTTTACGATCATAGTCAATTGGTAATTTTTTGACAAAAAGGATACTTTTTCAAAGAATTCGTTACTAAGGTCAACACTTCTTGATTTTCATCTAATAAAAGCATAATCCCCAGATATCCTAATCTCTTATCAGCGAATCTGTTTGATGCTACTAATTTTAAGCATTCTATTTGACCAAAGTGTGCTGGATAACCTAGCATATGAATATACAGCAATTTGGCCACATTGGAATGTCGAGCATCATTATTTTCTTCTCTGAAACTAGTTCGAATAGCTGCTGATTCCTTCTGGATGACCGCTCTTTCGTCGGCGGCAGTTTTACAGGCACGAATTGCTTTTATAAGGTCTAAAAGGAAAAGAATAAAAGTATTATAAATATTTAAATACATTTTAATAATTTACCGATCATTACCTTTGAGTCGATAAAATGGCATATTTGATATCTGTTCGTACTTTTTTTTTTAGACAATTAAACGTGGCTCTTTTTTTTTTTTAAAAAAAAAAAAAGGTATCACAAAACCCAGTATATCCATGCCGATCCATCGATCCTGCGTTTCCTGCGTTTAGATAAGGTTGGTTCTATAACCATTTCTGGTAAATGGTAAAACAACCAATCTCACGTGATGTTCAAGAAAAACTATATATATCCAACCCTTCAAAGCAAAATTTGTTTCATCAATCATGAGCAACATATATATTCAAGAACCACATACGAGGTATTCCTCATTTGACAAAATACGTTAATTTATCAATATGTTAACTTTTTTTTTTTTTTTAGTGGAAAGATCATTCTCCATACCACATCGGGTGATATTTCTATAGAACTTTTTTCGAAAGAAGCACCCAAAGCCTGCCGAAACTTTGTGCAGCTTTCATTAGAGAGTTATTTTGATAATACGATTTTTCATAGGTACGCGCTCATACTTTAATTGTTAAGTAAACCTGGTTTATCAGACATTATTCTTTTTGAATACTTAGAATTGTTCCCGGTTTCATCATACAAGGCGGTGATCCAACCGGAAGCGGACATGGTAATATATTTAATGTAGTATAATTAATTATTAAATTGAAAAGTGAATTTCAATTTTTCAATAATTAATGATCCATAAATCTTCAAAAATAGATTTATTTTATAATTTTTACTTGTAATTTTTGACTTCCAATGTATCTATTCCCCTTAATCTTATGCATTAAACAAACCTTTTTTTTTTTTTTGTAAAAATGTAGGCGGGGAATCAATATATGGGGGTCCATTTGTCGATGAGTTTCATACAAGGTTACGTTTCGTACGGCGTGGCCTTGTCGCTATGGCCAACGCTGGAAGAAATGATAATCGTAGTCAGTTCTTTATTACATTGGATAGAACCGATGAATTACAAAATAAGCATACGATTTTTGGGAAAGTGGTTGGCGATACTATATTTAATGTATTGAAAATTGGAGAACTTGAAATTGACGAAAATGAGCGGCCACTCTATCCACCTAAAATCATCTCTACCGAGGTGGTTTGGAATCCTTTTGATGATATCATTCCCCGAATTACGGCTGCAGAAAAACTTGCACAGGTGGAGACTTCTGCTACCGCGATGCTCCCAAAAGAACCCAAGAAAAATAAGCTCAAAAAGTAAATAAACTGTCGAAACGTAACGCGCATTCCAATTATTACGTTATTCAAACCTTTTCTTCCATAAAATGTAGGAACGTCGCGTTATTATCATTTGGAGATGAAGCAGGTGAATTTGAAAATGACCAGAATTTAAAAATAAAGAGTAGTCACGATTTAGTGGAAGATGATCCGAGATTGAGTAAAGAAGTTTCTGTCAAAGAGTTTGTAATAAAGAAAAGTGATTCTAATGAATCCGAAGAAAAGGTAAGGAAGTTCCCAAGGGTATCAACCTTTGATTCATTTATATCAAAATCCCTAAAATTATGTCAATTTTATAATAAGTCGAAAGTTGAACGATTGAAATTACAAGAAACAAAGGAAAAAATACATGATATTAGCAAGAATAAGAGTGATGATGATGATGATGAATCTGACGATGATGATGTAGATGTTGCAGAATTCGATCGAAAAATGAAAAATAGTATTAAACAACAGCAAGAGACAATGAGAATAAAGAAAGAAAGCAAAACGATCCAATTACCTAAAAAGTTTGTGATTTCCAAGTATTCTTTCTAAGAATTATTCATAAATGCAATGAAGTATTAAAAATTAAATCTATTACAGAGAAGCTTTACGACAAGAAATCGAACAAGTTAAGCAAGATATTAGAAAATTAAATCGACCACGTGAATCAGAAGAGAATGAACGTGCCAAAAAGAAAGCGAGAAAATCTTTTATACAACTTGAGAGACAAAGGTATTTAACATCCGGTAAAGCGGTCGCCGCTAAAAGGAAGAAAGGGAAGGAAGTTGATGTAAGCAAAGATTTATATCAAAAGATTCATAAATTCTTATTTTAATTTTTCATAAGTTTTTTAAATAATGCTCGATTATGAAATAGACATTGGAAAAATTAAAAGCTTTTCGAGCAAAAATTGAGGTTGCTGTTCCTTCGGAGACTGAGACGCCAGTAAAAACCGATGAAGATGCAGTACTTTGTATTCTTCATTCAGTACCTAATTGTTTATCTTGCCGAGATACGTTCGGGGAACCTCAGCAAGATGAAACGGATGAAGGATGGTTAGCACATCGCCTTGTATTTGAAAAAGACCATAAAGGCAAAGATTTAATGCAAAGAAGAGATGATCCGAATGATTTCATAGTTATCGATCCATTGGCTCGCAAAAAACAAGCAGTAGAAGAAGAAAGGGAAAAAAATGCACAAAAAGGTGGAATAAGTGAAGTATTCATAAAAGATAGACGTAGAGAACGGGAAAGACATTCCGACCATCATAAAGACAGTCATCATAATTCAAATAGAGATCAAGATAGAAGTCGATATAGATCTAAGGATTCTAAGGATTATGATAGGGAAAAATATTTAGATAGGGAAAGAGATCGAGACCGTAGAGATAGACGGCGTTATTGACTTATATTGTTGTTATTCTAATTAAACTATAAAGATGCTAATTAAGGAATCAGGTAATGAATTAAGGCCGTACGATTTCCTAGCAACATTCAGTTTTATTTAATTTTTACTGATCAATGTAAAATAAAATATTCTTTAATCATTTAAATACAAACGTTAAATTAGCATAGCCAACAATTTGACTTGGGTATTGGCAAAGTGACTTTTGGCGCGCGTTATTCGCACCATAAAAACATTGGTCTAACTAATTTTATATAGTTGCGGAAAAAAAAAGTGTAAAGTTTGGGTAAAGTAATTATATAATGCAATATAAGCGTAAACGTGAGCGTAAGCAGACAAGTACTTCATTTCTATTACTAAGGACGGTACATAACCGATTCTTCCTCCAGATCTATAGACCTTCAACAAAGAAGGATTCCTTGTAGATATGTAGACATAGATGCATGGCATAAAACGTTTCACCACTTACTTAGTTCCATGTTTGATCAATCATCTTTATGAGATATTATAAGCGTTATTGTTTCTACCAATCACAAACCTTCTTGTTAGAAATCATTAGGTATGATGTTTAGAAAATATTAAAGGCCTGCAAGGAAACTATCATGATTTTTTGTATGATGATTTTTTAAGCACTAACGCGTACGCAATATTAACGCGTCGTAATATGCCCGATCATATATATGGGACCTTTGACAATCAGAAGTAACAGACCAGGATAGTGAATCAGAGGCGCAAAAGAATCTCTTGGTTTCAGCTGAGGAATTCGATCATGATTCCTCATCTCAGTCAGTGAAAGAAACAAATGAAGATATGCGATCTTTGAGAAACTTTCTTGAGAAAGATGATGATAACGATTCTGATAGTGGCAGTGATTCTGAAGAAGAGATGTCGGATGAATCGGATAATGATGGATATGATAGAGGTAATTATTATCGTGACGGAAAATATGAAAGAAAAACCTCGCCAATGATGAGCCCTATTATCTCTCCGGGAACCACCTAGAAGAATTATCGGGCAGATCACATTATCGCATAGGTTTTGTTTCTTTTTGAATCACGTGGGTGGCTTATAAACTATGTGCAGGAAGACGTCATCTCTATTCTTCTCCGCAGTAAACGTCATTGAATTATATCCGCAGTTAGTATTGGGCATGTGATTTAACTACGTCCCGTGCTATTTATTTAGATCGGGTTATGAAATGCGTCAATTCTATGGGGAAATAGATCAATGAATAATTAATCGTCGAGAAAGTTCTGGCATAATACACATGTTACGAATCTTTGAATTAGCACTACACAAATTGATCCGCTATCCCTGATGTTAGAATGAGAACTTGAGCGTCTTATTATTATTAATCTACTGATTTACAGATCTCGATCCTATAAAATGTATTAGGGGTACTATAGCATCATCCATTCTACATAATAAAACAAAATTCCATTTATGGGTGAATTAAAAACAACGTATTCTTATGCAAAAAAAACGTTAGTGATCTATGATTTTCGGATATCTTGACATATTTCTCTGTATCCGTTAGTATTAATTTATGTCAATCGGTTTGTCATAAAACCGTAATGTCATCGGATTTATTTTTAAACGGTTAAATGGTTAAACGCGTAGTTTTTTTCAAGAATTCCCCTACGAAGCAACGTAATTATGCATGTTGATCAGATTTTCGTGATGCGATCATATTCGATCCTGCGAATTATTTAAAATGTTGATGTCCCGATTAGTGAATCCTTTTATCCGCCTTATGCAAATATATGCAAAATCAAGCGAAAAATCAAACGAAACTCTAATAAAATTTCAAACCTACATCATTGATACTGTATTTACAATCAAACAGTATTTTTGGGTATTTTTTTCTTGACAAAGAGGCTGATGACTACCAAGAGATAGCTTGGATACCCACTGACTCATAACTTTACCGCCAATGCCTGGGCCGACATAAAGCTATAGCGTCTCCTATTGGAATATAAGGGAAGTCTTCACCGCTAATGACTAGGCTGACATGAAGACTTCAGCACAGTTGCACCCTCTTCAGCGAACGGTGTAACAATGTGACTATAAATACTATTTTATGTTATCACGTGATTACGATTAGCCATAGATCATATGGGAGGGTTTCTAGGAAAATCAGGTTCCGAGAAATTTTTCACTTAAATTAAGAGCTTAATACATTTTAATCTAATAACATCAAAAACTAAAATGCAATAAAAATCTCAATTTTGTTAAAAAATTTCCAGAACCTGATTTTCCTAGCAATAAACCCATATGATGTCATTCACGACAGAATCATGGTAGGAATAAAGAACGCGTGAAAGTAAGTTTTGCATAATTCAATAGAAGCATTCTATTTATACGGTAAAATCATTAATTTATTATATTTTTATAAACCAGTCAACTTGGTTAAACAGCCACATTCTAGTCTCTTTAAATCAAGATTTTAAAGAACAATCATACTGTACATATCAACCCATAACTGTAATATTAAGATCAATAAAACATTTGAACTACTTGGTGCCTGATAAAGAAAAAAATGTGAATATTTATTTTAAAAATGTTGAAGCTTGAAATTGGCAGTTAAAGCATTATTTGAACTATGTCTTGAAAAGTGAAGAGGTGGTTTCAATCTGAACAACTGCTTATGAGAAGTGGATGAAATCGCTCAAAATTATCAAAAATAACAAGTATAAAATGCTCCAACTACTATATGTGGATTTTGTCATGAACTACTAAATATTGGTCATACCTTCGAAGGTTCTACTGTTCTCAAAAGCTATCAGCAATGATATAATAATTTCTATAAAAGAAACTTTGACCTACAGTTTTCTGAAAGAGTTAAACAATTGGAAGAAAATATATTTGAGGTGAAAAAAACTATATTTTTCTCTCAGAAAATGTCTGAACTTTTATAAAATAATTGTGTTTAAGGAAAAAGAATTGCAAGCGAGGGAGAGGCATCTGATAGAAAATGAAGTCAACATAATGAACACCAGAATAAATATTATGATTCAAATGAAGAAATAAGAAATAATAATTTAACTTTAATTTAAGATGATGATGATTACGATTATTATGAAGATGTATTATTATATGACTTAATCCAAAAAGAATCTGGATGGGTATTATTAATATCTCGTGATGTAAAAGATATTCTTGAAAGTGTTATAAAGAATGAAAATAATAAACAAAACAAAAAACTAATATCAGAACAAAAAATGTTGCGACAACATATCGTATCAAAAATAATAGATTTCACTTCAATTATAAAAGACTATTTTACAGACGTTGAATAACAAGGTATAATACATTTAATAAATGTAATGAAGTTTGATAGTGATATTAATAATTTTATTAAACAATCGAAAAGGTAAATGATAACGATTTTTTTTCCTTTCATTTTACTATCATCAATTTTAACCTATTTATAAATTTTAGTTGTTTATAGTTGATAACAAGAGGTGAACCAAACAAAGCATATCTAAAATGTCTTAAAATACATATACTTGCTTAATCCAATTCTAACAAATATAAACTCTCTAAAGTATATGGTAACTTGTATGTATTACTGTTGCTTTCCTTTTTTTCATTATCTATAACTAGTTCTGCAAAATCAGATCAAATCAGATTGTATTCAAATCTGATCTGATTTGATTTTTATTTTTCAGGATCTGAATCTGATCTGAATTTGACAGATCTGTTAGAAATCAGATCCGATCTGAATCTGATGGATCAAATCTCAAATTTAGATCTTACAGATCAGTTTAAGCCTAAATCTAATCTGATTCGAATCTGAAAGTATTATTGAAAAAATGAATTTTCAGTTCTAAAAGAAATCTAAAAATGTTTATTTCAATGAAAGGAATCTTTTTGACTCTAAAAAAAATCTGAAAAGTCATTTCTTTTTATTGAAAAGAACCTTTTCAGCTCTAAAGAGTTCTAAAAGTCATTTTTTTCATTGAAAGGAATTTTTTCAGCTCTAAAAGAGTTATGAAAAGTCATTCCTTTTCATTAAAAGAAACCTTTTCAGCTTTAAAAAATTCTGAAAAGTCATTTCTTTTTATTGAAAAGAATCTTTTCAGCTATAAAAGAGTTCTGAAAAGTTATTTCTTTTCATTAAAAGGAATTTTTCAGCTCTAAAAAAGTTCTGAAAAGTCATTCTTTTTTATTGAAAGGAACCTTTCAGCTCTAAAAGAGTTCTAAAAAGTCATTCCTTTTCATTGAAAGGAACCTTTTCAACTCTAAAAGAGTTTTAAAAAGTTATTCCTTTTCATTGAAAGAAACCTTTTCAGCTTTAAAAGAGTTCTAAAAAGTCATTTCTTTTCAATTAAAGGAACTTTTCAGTTCTAAAAGAGTTTCAAAAATTTGTTCTTTTCAATGAAAGGAACTTTTCAATTCTAAAAGAGATCTGAAAATTCGTTTTTTTTTTAATAAAAGGAATTTTTCAGTTCTAAAAGAGATCTGAAAATTCATTTTTTTTTCAATGAAAGGAAACAAATTTTTGGCTTTAAAGAAGTCTGAAAATTTGTCTCTTTTATTGAAAAGAAACTTTTCATTTTTAAAAAAGTTGAATTCAGATCTGACGAATCAGATCTAAATTTAATCTGAATCTGATAGATCAGATCTAAATCTGAATCCAAATCTGACAAATTAGATCTAATCTAAATCTGAATCTGAATTAAATCTGAATCTGACAGATCTAATCTGAATCTGATCTATCAGATTTGGATTAAATTCAGATTGATCCAAATCTGTGCAGAACACTATTTACAACCTATTTTTTCTGTAATAGCTTATATAAAACAAAAAACAGCAAAAATTTTTTAAATATAAATAATAATAGATATACTGAAACAGTTATCATAGTCAAAGCTGTTAGATATATAGTTGATAAATTAGTATCAGATTTCACTTTTAGTGAAAAATGGTAAGTTAAGGCATTTAGTTTCATGATTTTATTAATATAAATTTTCAAATCGTTAAATTCATATATAAGG